CTCAGATCCTCTTTCCTAATTGGCCGCTGCTCCCTGACCCCTTTTTCTGATTGGCCAGCCCTCCCCAGGACGTCCCCTCCCCTTTGTGGGCGTGTCCCCGACCTCACGCCCTGATTGGCCGCTCCCCTGGGTGTGTCCCTGACCCTCCCCCTCTCCCAATCCCCCCCCAGTTCCCTCCTGGGGGCTCTGCGGGACCCCGAGCGCAGCCGATTGGTCGAGGCCGCCTTGGCCGTCCTGGCCCCGCCCAAAATCCGGGAGCTCTTCCGGGACCACCTGCGGGGGCACCTGAGGGGCGTGGCCTCCCACAGGGTGGCCAATCACGGCCTCCAGAGGCTGCTGGACCACGCCCCCGAGGATGTGGTAGGCGGGGCCTAACGGGGAGGAGGCGGAGCTTGATGGGGAGGGGGTGGGGTTACATTTGTGGGTGTGGCTTGACTGGGGTGGGGCCAAGTGGAGGGTGTGGCTTAAGGGGTGGGGCTTACTGAGGTGGGTGGGACTAAAGGGGTGTGGTCACCAGAGGTGGGTGGGGCTTATTGGGATAGGCGGGGTTACGGGAGTGGGTGGGGCTTACTGGGAAGGGGTGGGGTTTAAAAGGGTGGGGCCTAATGGAGGAGGAAGAGCTTGAAATGGTTCATAGGTGGGTGGGGCTAAAGGGGTGTGGTCACCAGAGGTGGGTGGGGCTAAAGGGGAGAGGGAGGAGCTAAAGGGAAGTGGGGACAGGGTGGGTGGGGCCTAATGGGGAAGGGGCGTGGCTTAAAGTGGTGTGGTCGCATGGTGGGCGGGGTTTAGTCGGGAGGAGGTGGGGCCTGATTGGATGTGGCCATAGGGGGTGGGCAGGGCTTAAAGGAAATACTTCATTGGGTGGGGTCAAGAGGGCGTGGCTCTCGGGTGGGCGTGTCTGAGCGTGGCCCCGCCCCCCGGCGCAGGTGGAGGAGGTGCTCTCGGAGCTGGGCCCCGCCCTGGGGGAGCCGCTGGCCCGGGGCCACCCCGGGGTGGTCACAGCCCTGCTCGGGGCCGCCCGGAGACACCCCCGGCTCCAGGGCCCCGCCCTCCGCTGGCTGCTGCAGGTGGGACACGCCCCCTTGTATAAAACCCCACCCCCTTGTGAATAAGCCCCACCCCCTTTAAGCCCCACCCACCCACTCAGGATAAACCCTATGCCCTTCTGATTAGCCCCACCCCCTTTTTGGTAAGCCCTGCCCCTTGTAAGCCCCACCCACTTGGATTAAGCTCCACCCCTTTTCTGATAAGCCCCACCCTCTTGTGTGAAACTCCACCCCTTTTAAACCCCACCCACTTGGGGTAAGCCCCACCCCCTTTGTGGTAAGCCACACCCCTTCTGAGCCCCACCCACTCAAAATAAGCCCCACCCCCTTGATTCCCTAGACCCCGCCCCATCGGCAGTGACCACGCCTCCTTTGTGACAAGCCCCACCCACTTGGGATAAGCCCCTCCCCCTTTGGGACAACCCACCCCTTTTGGATAAGCCCCGCCCTCTTTCGTCCCTAAACCACGCCCCCTTTACAGTGCCCACGCCCCTTCGTAACAAGCTCCACCCCCTCTTTGACAAACTCCGCCCCTAACAAGCCCCACCCACTTGTGTTAAGCCCCGCCCTGCTTGTGACAAGCCCCACCCCTTGGATTAAACCCCACCCCTTTTGGGTTAAGCCCCACCCCACTCTCAAGCCCCACCCCCTTTGTAAATATTAAGCCACACCTCCTCACAGACCACACCCCAATTGGTCCAAGCTCCGCCTCTTTCCCCGGCCACACCCCTTTTCTGCCAAACCACACCCCCAATCATACACTGATAAACTCCGCCCCCTTTTTGATAAGCCCCGCCCCTTTTCCCTCCCGCCCAATAGGCTCTCGACTGCTGGGACCCCCCCGAGCGCCGCGACCAATGCCTGCGCCCCCTGGCCGAGCTCCGCCCCCGGGGGGGCGGGGACAGTGAGGAGGCGGGGCCTGAGGTGAGGGGCGGGGCCTGGGGGAAAGGGGTGTGGCCTGAGGGGAATAGGGAGGGGCCTGATGGAAAGGGGAGGGGCTTAAG